CTTTTCCACCGGGCCCATGGTGCACACAGTCCCTTACCTGTCTCTTATACACATCTAGATGTGTATAAGAGACAGCCCCAGATGATGACATGCGACAGCTCTCTCTCTCTCTCTGCCTCATCTTCTTGTCTTTGTCACGCTATCTGGAAAACTAAGTGAAATCGTTTTCGGCCAACCGAACATGACGACATGGACCCTTACCTGCCTGGCAAGGTACTGGTAGTGGGATCTCTGAGAAAGGCTTCCCCTGAGTAGTTGGGCAGTGTGTTGGGGTTTGGATTCCTCAGTTTGGCTGGTATTCAGATTGGGCATGTTCCATCGCGTACAAAAAGAAGAGATGAATCACACAAGCGCCAATCTATGCGAAAGAAAGCTTATTCCAAGGCAGAAAATGAGGACTTTTAGGTTACTGGCAAATATCATTTGTGTTCACACTTTGCAGCAAATTCTGGCAATTGTGACTGGTATCTGGTTCTGCACAGTGGATTGAATCTCATTGAATGTGAATGCTTGCTTCTTCGGCATAGAGACATTCGCTCACACCTGCAGTCCATAAGTGGCTGCGGTTGCTTGACCATCTATTGATATCTGTTGATATCTGAACCCATCAGCTTTTCAGACTTTTCTGAGTGTCAAGCCCCACTGGTGCTTGGTTCATGCTAGGAAAGTACGAACCTTGCGATTATTATGACCAGGGGGGGCGTGCTATCCAACCATAAATCGAGCACCGCTGGGGCCTGGCCCTGACTCTATTTTGCTGAGTTATTCATGAAAGTGTGTGTTGCACCATGCTTGCTGCAGGCCAGCACAAGGACCCAGTGCCTATTGTGGCGGACTGTGGATAGCCGCTCTTCAAGCTGCTGCAGCTCTTTCGGAAGCTGTCGGCGATAAGGAGATGTCGGAACGATACGCGTCCATCTTTCTAAAGGTGAATTGAGGGTTAATTTGTGGTCTTGATCTTGTGCTCTCCTGAGCTCGGACACACCTTTTCTTGTGTTCTCGAACGGTGTAGCCCCCCTACCATAGCAGAATCAATCCTGATTGATTTGAATTTTGAACTTAGATCTGTTCATTCAACAACTTGAACGTTGATTTGTTTATGAACATTTTGAAATTAGATATGTTGTTGACTTAACAGTTACGTAAATATTGAACTTCGATTTGTTTACAAAAAAGTGTCATATGGTCAGACACTACTTAGTACTTGCATTCCATCTTCATCTGGAGTTCTATCACCTCTCCATGATGATGATGATGAATGATGCCGACCTTGGTCTCCACCGTCTTCGACCATCTTGTCAAGATTTTGCTGTTGTGCACCCTCTCCACCGTGTCTGTGTCCTTAGTCTTTTTTTTCTTTTTTTTTTTTCCAAAGTGTGTATAGTGAAAAAAGGGTAATGTGACAATGCAGCAACATAAACTAACGAAGGATGTGTTATGCAAACTACCTCAACTTGTGTGAAAAATTGGTGTTGTTTTGGTATTTATGGTAAGTACATGAAGATGAAATTGATGAATGCTGATGTACCAGGCATTCTGTGCCAACCCCCCCAGTATATATTTCGTAATCAGTGCAAGTGGGACCCAGCCAGCCCCTAGCTCCCTTGGGTCCCCTACTCCTTGACTTGCTTGGTTTGATGAACTTTGATCTTATCCTGCTACGTCAGCTCCTCTAACTTCTTGTGTGTGTATGCCTGCTCAGGGAACCCTGGATGGGTTATTAAAAAGGAAGAAAGAAACAAAACCTGGATGGTATTCCAAACGCTGAGGAGGTGATTGGTTTTGGACCTTGGAGCAGAGGTATATCAGCTGCTTCTAGTTGCAACTGAGGACCTTGGGTGGTGTTTTTTCAAAATATGGTTCTGTTTTTGCCAAATATGTTTTCTTTTTTCTCTTTTCTTTCTTCGTAGGATGGGTTAGGGCTATGTTCTGGACACACACACACACACACACACACACACACACATACCTCCGTGTCGCATACACATCCAAACATGACAAGTATAGCGCAGATCCAAGGAGTCAACTCAAAGCAAGAGACTATATAAACGCAGCGGAAGACTGAACATACATCTGACACAGCAATAGCAGAATGGACAATTCACACTCGTACATGCATCACACGGTAAGAAGGGGGCAGCGCAGCATACAAGGAAGGGGCGCTGTTCCCTGATCATCCAAGTCGCAGTCTCGATACAATGTCCAAAAACAGGTCTTTGCCCGAAATACCAGAGCAGGGCAATGGCCTGAGTGTCCCCGAGTTCAGATCTCAATACAATGTCCAAAAACAGGTCTTTGCCCGAAATACCAGAGAAGGGCAATGGCCTGAGTGTCCCCAAGTTCAGATCTCAGATAACTCTCTCTCTCTCTCTCTCTCTCTCTCTCTCTCTCTCTCTCTCTCTCTCTCTCTCTCTCTCTCTCTCTCTCTCTCTCTCTCTCTCT